TAACCTGAGAGCCTGAACTACTACTCCATTCAGGCCTGAGGGCACAACTGCAGAATTCACGACCTTGTTGTAGTGTCAGGGCCTAGGAAGTCCTCTCTTCCCACCTAGAAAATACCCTCCTGCTGGTTCCTAAATTCCACACTCACGTAATGGCTGTTCAGTACTTGCTTTTCCATAAGAAATTAATTGCATGTTTACTGTGTGCCGATCACATCGAGATTTTTATGTTACAAACAAAAACCTCATTATGGATTGAGTTCAGCCCAGCCCTAAAGGGAAAAAGAAGGCCCATAGGGAGACTTCAGACCTCATTATTACTGCCTTCACCCAGTAGTGTTTCTGAAACCCCCCACCCATTCCAAAAGCGGTAAGACCCAGGCAGTACCTGCCTCTGGAGGCCTGCTTGTTAAGACAGTATCATTTGGAACAGAGACATGCCAGAAACAGCACAACAAGGGCCAGAGCAGAATGAAAACAAATGAAGACATTTTTTGGTACATTGGTGCAAAAAAAAAAAAAAAAAAATGTCACAGAGCCCATGCTGGGCTTGATATGACCTCGAGGGGACAGCAGATTTATCCTTGATGGGAGTTAAACCTGACCAGTCTTTCTACAGTGACAGGCCACACTGCATGAGTGGGGAGAACCAGTGAATTCATTGTCCTCTGCCTGGTTTCTTGTGCACAGTCACATTCCCTCCTCAGTCATCTTCCCCTTTCACCCTTTACATTAAACAAGGGAACACTCAATCTTTCAAGGGAATTACACGTTTGAGTTAATGTTTCAGTATATCATTTTCATACTGTAAATTATTTTGTAAGAGAGATTTACTGCTATCCCAGGATGTTCGGACTTGGCGCCCCTGTGCATTTGGAAATCAATAAACTATTACTGGAAATACCATTTGTCTCTCAGAGTTGTGCACAAAGGACCCTGCTAGGTGTAAATATTCATGACGATCTGCATACTTAACTGTGGTAATGCTGGAGGTGATGGTGTTTTGGTTATTAGATGTGAGAATATAATTTACTCCCGATTTCCCCCGAGTACCTTAGGAGATCTCTAGGAAGTGGCAAAAGGACAGGCTTAAGATCATTATTTAGAGAAATGTTTTCTCCTCAAAGTAAAATGATCCATGCCTAGGTTAAATTTTATGAGCAAAGTAGATTATAACCCAAGGAATACTTGGTCCTGAATGATGTTTTCAAATAACATTAAAGCTTTAGAATTTGAATTAACTAGAAGGAAGATCAAATTTTATTTTTTATCATAATTCCTAGAAAAAAATCTTTACAGAGCAGATTACAGTTAGGCCAGAAGAATCATCTTTGTGGAACTTTAGAAGTACATATTTGTATATAATTGATGAAGAGATAGAATTAAGTTGTAAATGAAGCAATTCCAATTTGGTTTGTAGTATTAGGACCAGAGGTTGCATTGAAACCAGCAGTCATATACTCCAAGGCCTTCAGGAGCCAAACATGAAGATTCAAGATGGTAAATATTGTGTAAATTAGAAAATGTTAACGCATTAAAATTGAATGTTTAAAAATCCAGAAACCCACTAGCAGGTGTGTCTGGAGGGGCTACAGTTTGTGAACCCTGCTCTAAATTTCCTTTTAACAAATAATTTTTCATCGGACTCTTCAGTTGGCTGGGGACTGAGAACTTTGGGGAAACTGTCCAATGTAGGGAGTCACTCAAGGTCACCCAATAAGCCTGGCTGGTAAAGCCCAGGACAGCAGACTGACTGTCTCCTGTAGCAATCATTAGGCCCTACTTCCTCTTCCCAGTTGCTGAGGACACCTTCTGCCTGGTGGGATGGCATTGCCAACCACTGTAGCACTTGAGAGTCTTCAGTGTTTTAACAAACCACAATGTGTTTGGAGGTTTTCTTCCCTCCGTCCTGCTGCCAGTATCTCAACACCACATCCCATTGCCCCAGCCCTTCTCATCTTTCCATCTGAAAGCTATAACTGTTTATTTTGTTTTATTGATACTTGCCCAGCTTACACATTGCCCCCATTTCCTTTATGCTCATAAAAGGGTGAAATTGCAGCTTGTCTAGAATATCTCTTGGCCTTAAGGCACCAGAGTTAGAGGCACCCAATGCAAAGTCAGGCTGCCGGTCATACTAAAAGAAAAAGATGTCACAGAAACAGGAACAAAAAAAGACTGCTTAAAGTTAATAACCAACTGCACTGAGTGTCTGTGCTTGTTAAATACTGCAATGTCCAGGTTTATATCATTCATTTTTGTTAACGGAGCTAACCATTTAGTGAGCTCTTTCTCTGGGCCAGGCATTCTCCTAGTTGCTTTTCACGTTATCTCATTTAATTCTCACAGCACCAATACTGTCACCCCCCAGTTTATTGCTCAGGAATCAGATTTAGAGAATTAAGTACTATGACCAAGGTTACACCCTAATAAGTGGGAAGCCCCTACTTAAACCCAGACGTACCAGACTTTACAACCCCTGCTCTTAATCTCTCTTTTCCTAGCTGCTTTACCTTGTATTGTGAATAACAACACTGCCTCCCCTCAACACCCCGACCCTACACATGCATGCAGTATGGCTTTGGGGCAAAGGAATTTGCCCTTTGCAGAATGGGTCTTGCTTTGTATAGCCTGGAAAATGCAGTGTACAGAGAGGGAAGGGGACCTAAGGATAGCAGTGAAATCCTCTTCTAACCTGAAACTGCACTTTTGGAAGGAGAAGACTATTAAACTTGCTTTATCTTCTTTGTTCCAAGGCCATAAATAATGAAATCAACAAGAGAGCAAAGCCGGATCTTCTTTAGCTGTGGTCTTGGAATCCCAAAAGTCAGCCAACTCTGACACTGTGTGTGATTTAATTAAACATCTTAAAGGTGTCTCCAACAACTTGACATTAGGCCAGTTTCATATTCTTGAAAGGGAAGGCAAAAGAGCTTATCTATTTTAAAGTTGATTTACTGATTTTATCCATCATGGCCACAGTGTACCAATTGCCTTATAAAAATGGCCTACAGGCCGGGCGCGGTGGCTCATGCCTGTAATCCTAGCACTCTGGAAGGCCGAGGCGGGTGGATTGCTTGAGGTCAGGAGTTCAAAACCAGCCTGAGCAAGAGCGAGACCCCGTCTCTACTATAAATAGAAAGAAATTAATTGGCCAACTAATATATATAGAAAAAATTAGCCGGGCATGGTGGCACATGCCTGTAGTCCCAGCTACTTGGGAGGCTGAGGCAGCAGGATTGCTTGAGCCCAGGAGTTTGAGGTTGCTGTGAGCTAGGCTGACGCCATGGCACTCACTCCAGCCTGGGCAATAAAGGGAGACTCTGTCTCAAAAAAAAAAAAAAATGGCCTACAACCATCACACCATTTTAGGATTCAGTAGCAACTCATTTACCTGGGGCTTCAGCCATCTGACAGCTCTACCTATCCACACTTCTTAAACACAAAATCACACTAGTGGTTTGATAATGAGTAATTGAGACAGAACTAGAACAATTGGGAACCTCTGCTCAACCCATTCAAAAATGGTAACTGGGAAGTAAGCAAACGAGGCTTCTGACCAGTTGAAATAGACTATGAAGCAAACACACACAAAAAAGGCCACACATCTACCCATCAAGCATACACTCAAAACCTGTTTATTCCTAATTCATATTTCTAAATGATTGGTTTCTAAGCCTACAGCAGATTAAGGGAGAGGAGGAAGAAGTGACAGCAATTGAGAAAATGTTTGAGTGTACTGAAAAGCTTCAAAAGCCCTGTTTTAGGGGAGTATTCAGTGCCATAAATGGCTCTGTGCACATATCAATCCCTACGAGCCTCACTGTATTATAGGAGAATATAATTCAAACTGGTGACCCAAGTATCACACAAACCAGATTATGCTCAGAAGTCAAGAAGTATATCATAGATGACAAAATAAAAATTAAAAGGAATAAACTTTTGACTATCCAGAACATTTAGCTAAATAAAACAACACATACCCACTAGCTGAGGTTTTAATGTTGCATGAGCATCTTGTGTTTAGAACGTTTTTTCCACGGTTCTGTAAGTGACTTTCATGCTACAGTGCTTTGCATATAATGGCATGAACAATGGAAGTGCCAAGTTTCCAATGTGATGAATAAAACTAATAACCAGAATACAGGTCAAATTCTGTTACAACAAATACTGCTACTATAAAAATCACTTAAGCATTCCTGTTATCTCTAAGCCCCTGTCGATTGCCCATTTATTTTAGGCAATAGTCATTACAACAAAATTGGAGTACAATAAAAGGAAACCGGACCCCTACCACCAGTTGGGTGTAACACAATTTAACTTGTAATAACAAATTCTCACTTGTATTTTTCCAGTGCTTTGTTGCAAGAAGAATAAACCTTATGTAGACATAATGCCAACTTGGAAAACTGGTGGTTGGTTGCTGCTAGGAGAAGAAAGAATTCAGAAGGAAAGGACACACGGAGTTGTGTGGCAATTCCTCCCTAGGGAATTTGGTCTCCAGGGCCACTTTTGACCTTAATCCAAGTTGGAGCCATCAACCAAAGAGTTGCTTGCTCCTAATAGTGATGTAATGCATATATTAAGCCCTGGAAAGAAGACATGATTCATTTCCCACAGATCATCGAGCACTTTGTGGTAACCTGGCCCTGAGCTGATGACCCTAAGATTAAAAATCCAGAAGCATGTGACTGGAACTATCTTTTCTTCCGCGATGCACTGCTATCAACACTGCATGATTGTAAAAGCACATGCCGCGTCGCCTATATATAGAAATGGTCTAAGTTCATCAGCTGCATTCAGTTTGGTGTGCAGGCAAAGATTACTCCATGCCTATCCTTCTGCTGGTGGTAATGATGAGTTTTGTCTTTGCTGTAACATTATCCATCTTTCTTTCTTTTACTTAAATATTTTTTAATTACTTCATTGCAACTAACAGTTTGTAATACTCTTAACAGCAGAAGGGATTAAATCATAATTCACTTCTGAACAGTACAATCAGCAATAGGAAAAGGAGAGGTGAGGATGAGGGAAATCATCCACCTTTTCCTGATGATAATGCCTGGCTCAGGCCCCAGATTCACATCATACTCCAAAGAAGTTCATAGATTCTGGGCACTGCTCAGCTTGTGGAGGCAGGTAGCGTCCCTTCATACCTCAGGGGGTGATGAGAGATCTGTTGAAGCCATGCCGTTACAGGATATGTCCACCTCTGCTTGCTTTCTTCCCTCAGCCAGAGTCGTATTAAACATTTATGTGTTCCAGACCGAGAAATCAAGTTAAGAAGAGGTTGATGCTTTGCCTCGCTCTTGAAAACACTTGAGTCCAAGTATGATTCTCTGGCTCAAGGGTGGCCATTTACTGCCTCACCATTTTTATTAGGACATCTGGAGATTAGAGGTGTTAATTGGAAGTAACTGTTCTGTATTTGGTTTCTCTCCACACATTATGAGACCTTTTGGACCCAGTTGGATTGCTATATCCTATTGCCAGATTCAGCCTATTCTAAGTGCAAAAAACTGATAGAGGAACAAGATTGCTCTCTGACTTGGTGGTGTAGGGGTGATGGGGAGTGTCAGTGGGGTAGTTTGGGGTGGGGATGATGATAAAGATGCCACTGATAACAATAAAAACATGCATTTTTTCAATACTCAAACTAAATTCCCATTTGCTAACAGGTGAGTTCTGATCTATCTTCCCCAAATTCATATTTGCCTACAAGATACTGGCCTGGCTGATCAAACACAGGCATTCCTTCTGTGATCATACCTAGCCCACTGTGGCCAAACTGTACTCTCCTGTTATTTACTGAAAACAAGCTTGCCTAGTAAGCCCTCTCCCTCACCTCTGGCATGAGGACAAGACATGTGGAGGAAGAATTAGGTCACCTGGAGGTCCACCATTGCATATGGTTAAGTGGTGTGAGGAAGCCAAGATTTCTAGAAGTGTCTGTCTTTTGCCATTTCGGGGATGGAGAGAAAGTCCATCTGGAGTGTTTATGCTCCTCTTGATAACCAAGCCATGGGGTTTTCTTTATGTTGTGCTACTAAGGTCAGTCACTGCCCTTGGAAAAGACAATTTCACAATGACTTACTTCCTAATAATCATCGGAACAGTCTCAGGAGGACATGCACAGCGGCGGCCTATCTTCAGGCCTGGCACGTTGTCAAATGGCAGACTTGCAGAGCAAATAAGAGACCTGGCCTAGTTCACAAGGCAGCCAGAAGTGATCCAAAGTTCAGGCTCCCCTGCCTTTTATCCCTCCACCTCCTTCCTCCACAACTCCGCCTCCTCTTCTTCCGGCCTCTCCATCTGGAAACCATGAGCCTCATGGATTCCAGGCACAAATTCTCAGATTTCAGATGTTTGGGAAATTTCTCGGCTTGGGTCATTCTTTAAGAGAATTCAATTTAGGAGAAAAAACAGCTGAGACCCTTCCCTAGAAGAGAAAATAAATAAGGTGTAGTATGTATCCATTCTCTTGCCAACTCAGCTCCAAAGCCACACACAATGCCTAACTTCAGAAAAAGTATTTAGATCCCCTGGGAGGGAACGAATGGAAAAACAAAATCTCCACTCATAAAAATACACTTTTCTCCCTTATATGGTATAAACACAACTGGCATCAGATACTACGATGTAATTGATTTTGTGTGTATTATTGGGGAAGGAGAGGGGGTCTCTTGAGGGTAGACCTAAGAGTAATGGAATGAAGTGAAAAGTAAAATTTGGATTATTGGGTGAAACTGTTAACATTATGAACCACTTAACCCCAGTGTCGTAGCTCCAAGAAGAAGTGAAATGTGTTGTCTTCTGTCTTTAGAAAATGGAATGAGCTTGTTCTTAGGTCCTGGGTTTTAGAAGCAGACAGGTTTGGTTCTAGTACTGGCTCTGCTTTTTACTAACTAAGGAACTAAATGAGCAGATGGTCTACAGGGCATAGTACAGTGCCTGACATGTAGTAAGCACTTAGAAATGGTAGCTTCTGATTACTGTTGTGTTTATGACCACTCACCAGGATGGAGTCCTGTTGGGATGTGGATGGCGCTGCCCTTAGGTTGCCCACAGAGCTGCTCTGCTCACCTCTAGATCCTCCCATGGCTATTTCATAGCGCTCTCCACCACTTCACCTTGGTACACTTTTTCATATCAATCACGAGCACCTGAAATTATTGTTTGTATTTATTTGTTTTTATGGGTAATATATTTATTTATTTGTATGGGTAATGTCTATAACTCTGAAGGTTGTATTATTTGTTTGCTGTTGTGTTACCAGTGCTGACAAAATTGCCTGACACAGAGTAGATGTTCGAAAACTATTTGTGGACTTAACTGACCAACATCTTGATCGCATTCATATCCAGAGTTACTCCAGATATCATATTAAATATATTGATGCCAACAACCGGAAGACATGTTTAGCTACATCTACCCCAGAATGAGTGTCCAAAGCAAATGGTACCACCAAAAGGCACACTCTCTTCCCAGGAGAAGAGGGAAGAGAATTGGGAAACCTCATTCCCACTCCTGCTCTGCCACTAACGAGCTGTACAGCATTTGACATGTCCTACTCTCTACTCCTAAAACGAGGAGCCACCATATTAGGGGCAGAGTCGACTAAATGAGAGGATCTCTCAGTTTCCAGCTCTAACATTGTAAGATATTAGCAAAGTAAAACGTGACAGTGGGAACAGGAAGATGCTTTCTCTGAGGTCCCAAGTCGTCTTTTTCCTCTCCATGTGTAAGCATGTGTATGTGTGTGTTTCCATGGATGAATATACATGTGTGCATGGATGCATAGGCATGCATGTGAGTACATGCATATGTGCATGTGTGTGTATGTGTGTGTGCTGGGGCTATGCCAGGAGAGCCAGACTCGTGCTTTACGAAGAGCAACATTTCCCCAAATGTACACAGGCCATGAAAAAATGTACTGTAGTCAAGTAAACTGGGAAGTAAAACAGTGGGCTAAACAAAGCTAAATACGTTAAGAAACCTGAAGTCCCTGTGGGACTTCTTGGAGCTTTTAGTACGTTCATGTGCATTGTAGAGCTTCAGTGTAACAATTTGCTGGTTTTCTGGTATGCTGTGTGACAGTGTTAAGAAACACCATTTAGAGATGAGTCCAACTCACCTCATTTAACTGGTGAGAAAACAGGCCCAAAGAGATTAAAGGATTTGTTTAAGGTCATGTGGCTGTTGGGAGACCTGAGTTCTTACCCAGATTTGGCCACTGTCTCCCAGAAGAGAAAGTCTGTTTAGTGACTCCACTCAAGAACCCACATTAGAACGTTCTAGGGGATACCCAAGTTTCTCCTTTGATTCTAAAAGGAAGCGTTTGACGGGCTGCAGTTCTCAGTCTCGGGGCCTGCACAACGTCAGTGTTCAGCACAGGTGCAAGCTTCCTTGTCGGGGTGGCGCCATCTGTCACATGGAGTGCAGCTCTGACAAGCTATTACCCAGGCCACGGTTCCCTCTCATTCTCTATCTGTGGCTTTCTCTCTATGGCTTTCTCTCCCGGTTCCTTCCCTCCTCCTCTCTCTCCTTCTCTCTCTCCCCCTCCCCACCCTGCCCTCTCCCCTCCCTCCCTCTCTCCCGGTTTTCTTTTCCAGGCTACAGCATTAAGGGCTACTTACTGTAGCAAGTGCAGGAAGCAAAGGCAGCACTGGCCTGCTTGACTGCGACCCCTGCCACACCAGTGCCCCAAGCGCCAGCATATCCGGGTGCATCCGCAGGCCTCCGCACCCCAGGTTAGTGGTGAGTGGGGAACTGAGGTCTGAGGAGGTCACCAAAGATGGGAGTTTGTGCCTGACCTCTAACAGTTGACCATGAACCATTCTTGGATGCCTTTCCTGGCACGATGGCCTTGAGGCCTCAGCGGAACCTCCAGGTGCCCTTGTGGGGGCACCCGCGTGGCAGGCGGGTGGAGGTGCCAGTTAGAGCGGGAGTGTGCACGCGTAACGACAGAGGGAAATACAGGCACATCAGGAAGAATAATGAGTTGGCACCCTGCCAAACTGCTATTCTTTAAATATTAGGTCAGCATTTATTTAGAGGAGAGGCTGGAGGCAGATGTAGGGGAGGGCATTGGAGGCCGTGCCCCCGCCTGCATACCACACTTTTAGAAACCAAAGCCCTGACCCTCTTTTTAGAAGACCATTTAGCAACCATCTGTTGTTATTCCAGCTTACCCTTTTTGGGGTCTCACCCCACCCACTTCCAAATGGCTTTCGAAGTATTTCTTCCAACCCTACACAATTATTTCCCTGAAATGAGTTCTTGGAAGTACAATTTTCTCCACCTCATTACAATTTTAGTGAAGATTTTGCACCACCCCTCCCCCCCCCAACAGACTGGTCATGTGTCATGTGTCATATGCATGTGTGTGTGTGTCATCAGGCTGGTGGTTTAGTGAGGACTCCGTTTCTCATCGAGAAAGTATGCGTGACACCCAGATCACGACACTCCCCATGTGGTCACAGGCTGTCTCATACAGAGTTCATGTCCTTCCAAGTAAGAAGAGACAGAAGGGTGGTATTTTCTTAGGAGATTATAGACCCACCGGAATGTAACAAGAGCGTCTAGCAACAGTAAGAAATAAATATCCCCACTTGCTGGGACAGCTGTCTTTCCTCCGTCTCCTCCTTCTCACTCCTTTTCTCAGCTTCCACCTGCCCTTTCTCGGGAGTGTCGTCCGGAGGAGCTCATGGACAACAAACGTGCCTGGAAAAGCTATTCCTGCGTTACTGAGTGGTCCCTCATCATGATGTTTCATACCTACCGAGTGACTTTGCTTTTAGGAATGCCCAGCGTCACGTATGCCCCCAAATTGGATTAATCCACCATCCCATTTCACAATCCTGACATGACAGAATACCAGGACAACCAGTTAATTTAACTGGGGGAAAAAAATCACTTCAACCAGTTGTTTGGCACATGTTAAATGGAGCTATGTTGATCAAATTATGCATCTAAAAAAGATGTTGCATAGGCACAGCTGGAGTGAAATCCCTTTGTGATCTTGTGAACTTGGGTCTTTATATCAACACTGAGCTCACAGATTTGTTAATGAAGACTCAAGATGGTGACATTCCCAACAATAAGCTTCCAATTGACTTCCTCTCCCTAGAGAAGTGGCCAACTTCCCCAGGCCCAATGGCTGCTTTTTACCCAAGCTCCCTCTTCCTGAAATAGAGATGAGTTCTCTTTGAAATAATGGGAGCATGGACTCTGGATCAGAATGCCTGGGTCTGGCATTTACTAAGTGACTTGAAGCAAGTAACTTCTGTGTCCTGTGCCTCCATCTCCTCATCTCTAAAATTGGGATAATAATAGAACTTACCACACAGAGTATATGAGAGGATCAAATAAGATAATGCATGAAAAGTGCTTAATACGGTGTTGGGCAATTTTCAAAAGATAAAATAGTTATTGCCAATATTAGCATTATTATGAATTGGTAAAGTAATAAAACTAATTTTTTGAAGGAAAATTTGGTGATATCAAACCCCATTTCTCTAACTGACACAAAGCTTTTTGCATAAAAACGGTCATGTAGCATTGTTTTTAATGGCAAAAATGTGGTAATAACCTAAATATCCATTAGTGGGACTGGCTAAGTGTCTTAGAATCTGTCCATGTAGAGGAACACTCTACAGAAAATAGGGGTGGGAGGGTGGGTTTCTCACTGATGCTTAGCGCATGCAACTGTGCTTCTGAAAATCACTGAGGCCTCCGAGTTTAGATTGGCAATCACAGCTTTCCTTCCTGCAATCACAGAACATTCTCTGGGATGCTAATCAGATGATGATTTTGTTCTACTGGGAAGAGTGGATTTGTGTCACTCAAGCCAAACTCTGAAGAGGCATAGCCTTGCAGAGGAAGGGCTCGAGGGGCTTGGTTGAAAGATACCCTGGTTGCCGGTACAACCGGTCTTGCTGCAGTGACCTTCAAGCCACTGACCGGGCTAGAAGGGTGAACTAAGTGAGTTAAGACCCCAACTTTTGGCCATTGGTAACTCTCCATAGAGCTATCTCCCCTGAGAAGAAGGAAAGGCCGTCTACTAGGCCATGTTCGAGCAGAGAAAGTGGAATGGCTTTCCCCAGCCCTCATGACTCCCCAATCCTAATCCCTTACCTGAAATACTGTAGCCCAAAACACTGGGTTGGGAGTGGAGCCAGGCCCCTCACTACTTTGCCACTCCAAGCTCATTCCTGCTACATCTGATTTCTGCCCACCAGGAACGTTAACCAAGATCCCCTTCCCCCAAACAAGAGCTTTGCTCTCTCCATCCGAGGTTCTTGTTTTGTTTGGGCCCTTCCTGCTCTGCACTTCCTTTTCCCTGGACTCCATTTTGCCTTACAGAGGCACACCCCGTGTACTATTTCAGTTTTATGAGAGAAAAGGAAGTGCAGACCACAAGAAGGAAAAGAGTTACAATTCTGAGTACTTTTTATACCCGCAAACCCCACCTCCTAGGTCAGTGGCCTCATCACACACATCCTCCAACGCTCCATTCTGCCCTTGACCTGTCATCACCCCTGGCCTTGCCTTTTGAGAAGCAGAAGGAAAAAACTGGGAGAAAGCCGCTGCGCCCCCTGGAGGTTAGCGCGTGCAACCAACAGAGAGTGTGAAAGCTGCTGGAAAACTGTGTTGTTAGCAATGTGCTGTTAGCAATGAAAATGAGCTTGTGGGACAGGCAGATCCAAGCCCCAACTGTGCTGAAGGGAGATTAGGATCCCCAGATCCCCCTCCAGAACCATTCTCCATTGTAAGTCAAGTCCGACCTTTCTTTATGCTCCTTTGGAATATTGGCCCCTAGATACAAAGGGAGGCAAGACTGAATCTTTGGAGGCTCAGCTGTTGTTCCTGTAGCCAGTTTCCCCATTAATAGGAATTAGTGTTTCCTCCCCTGCAGTGCCAGACGGGGCCAGCAGGGGTCTGACCTTAGTTGCTTTTAACCCACAATGACTGGCTGTCCATTGTGATGGCCATGTGAATGAACTTGAAGTGAGGAGCTAACAGCCATGGCCGGAGAGAGAAGGTATAAATACCGCATCCATTTTTGTAATAGACTATAAACATCCCAGCCCACAGGATATCGATTTTCTTTATCCACAATGAAGTGCTTGGTTTAATCCAGTTTTCATGTTTACTCAGAAAATACATTCATAAAGAGAGCTACCTTAATCCAGGAGCTTGGACCATCGAGATTTCTGTCTGAAACAATTCACTAATTGCTATTTGGTCTCTAAAGAAGATGCCGGGAAGACCAAAGGTGATGTAATCAAAAAGATAATGTCTCAAAAAGAAAATTAAATGTCTCCAACTTATAGATCTCATTGTTTAAACAACAACAACAAAGAAAGCATGAGTTCAGTATTTCTGGATCATTCTTAAGGTTGGTATTTCAAACGGTAAGCTCAAGTTTTTACATTGTCCTTGAATATATTTTTATTGTGGATGATTGTTAGTTACAATAATTATGAAATAATTAAGAAAAGTATGGTGATTTCCAGTCTTCAAAGTCATTTCACACACAGTACTTCATCTGGTCTTTTATGACAAGAAAGATGTTATTAGTCTCTTTCATGGCCAATGAAATTGAAACTCAGAGCGGTGAAAAGCATTGCCTGAGCTCACACAGCTACTAGTGACAGAGCTGGCATTTTTCTGTGCCAATGCAGCAATAAAAGTCCATGGTATTAAAGGACTTTTACATGTGCAAACATTTATGTAATGCAGCCCTATTATGAATAGTACATTTTCAGCAATTAACCTAATTTTACTTATTAGTATCTATTTATATCTTGTTGCTATGAGGGAAAGTAATAATACTGTAATTTCTTTAAATTATGGAATACATGCTTCTCATTAAGTACACATTCCTTCACTTCACATAGCCCTGTTCTATGTTCTGCTCTTCGATGAGATGTCAGGAAGTGGCAAGAATCCAATCTACCCAGATTCAAAAATTCTCCTTATTGTCAACAGGCCACCTCTGTCAAACAGAGAAAACCAAATTGCTTTAATCATCATAACAACCTGAAGAGCTAGGTACTATTATTTTCTAGATAAGGAAAGAGACAGAGAGAGGCTAGCTTGCCCAAGTTCACGCAACTATAAAGTGCTGGAGCTGAGATTTGTACCCAGAGAGCGAGGTCCCTACCAGGTTCACAATCATTAAGGACACCAAGAGTAAAGACCCTCCAGGTGGCACAGAAGATACAAAGACTCTATAGATACCCCCCCGAGTCTGGGTGTTGAGAGAACTAAATGAAAAGGGATATGTTCTTACATACCTTGGAGAACAGGGAAGAAGTGTTACAAGTGTGGGTTTTGTTTTTTTTTTTTTTTTTAAAGTCAAATGGGCCGGGCATGGTGGCTCACGCTTGTAATCGTAGCACTCTGGGAGGCCAAGGCGGGCGGATTGCTCAAGGTCAGGAGTTCAAAACCAGCCTGAGCGAGACCCCGTCTCTACTATAAAAAATAGAAAGAAACTAATTGGCCAACTATATATATATATATAATATAAATTAGCCGGCATGGTGCACATGCCTGTAGTCCCAGCTACTCGGGAGGCTGAGGCAGTAGGATTGCTTGAGCCCAGGAGTTTGAGGTTGCTGTGAGCTAGGCTGACGCCACGGCACTCACTCTAGCCTGGGAAACAAAGCGAGACTCTGTCTCAAAAAAAAAAAAGTCAAATGCAATATGGATTTAAGAGAACTTTATAAATAGCATTATGATTTTGATACCAACCACTCTGAGCTGCTCAGGTTGTCTTAGAATCTCCCTTCATCTTCTCCCCGCCCTTTTATCTAGAGCTTTTAATGACCCCAGTATAAAACAATTAAGGAAAGGCACCTTGAGCCTGGCTGTAGCAGCCAGCATGTTCCCGCGGACTGAGAGCCTCCAGGTGCTAGCATTTGCAAACTGTCTCTAAACCAGACCCTTCTGGGTGCCTAAGGGGTGCGTGCAGTCCTCTCCTGGCGGATTGGGTGCGGGGTTTCCCCCTCCCAGGAGCCTCTGGGACTGGCCCCGCCTCCAAGCTCCAGAAGCCAACCTGATTGGTCTAAGGGAAGCCCCACCCCTTTGTCATGAGTGGTTTAGAAATGAGCATGTGACTTGGAGGGCTTCTGGGAAGTTTCCTGAAGCCTACAAAAAGCCCCGAGGGAGTGCTGCCTCTCTTCTTTCCCGAAAAGGTGCTAGCGTTGCCCTTGGGGCTTGAGGAGGAAGCTGAAGGGGCTGCGGAACAGCAGGCGAGGCCACTTGAGGCAGGCTCACTAGGACTCGCACCCAGAGCCCTCTGACAAAAGGCTTCGGTCCTCACAGCAGCCCCACAAGGGACGCCTTGTTAAGGCCCTTCTGCAGATGAGGAAACTGAGGCGGAGAGAGGTGGAGAGTAGGTGACCGAGCTGGAATTCAACCCAACTCTCCAAAACCTGGGCTGCCCTTCAGCTCACTGATCTGTCCGCTTGTCCAGAGTGGGGGAAATTAGAGCAAAAAAGAACTTCTTGCTCTCGTCAAACCAGGGGACTCGCCCACCCCAAGTGTAACTTCTGCTTCCCTCCTCCCCACCTTTCTTCCGGCAGTTCCCTTTGCTCAGACTGCCCTTGGCTGTTCTCTCCAACCCCTGAAATCCTTTCCACCCTCCACAGCCCGTGTCCAAGTCAAATTCCAGTTTTGTCTTTGAAACGCGCTAGATCTGCTGCCCATGCCAAGCTCTCAGCTGAACTTCTGACCTCATCATTTGTTCCCTAGCTTTGGCAATTCCCAAATTCGTGGCTTTCCTAGGAGTTTTAATTTATTCACATTTAACTCTTGTCATTGACCATTAGGTTTTCCTGGGACCTATTTCTGGCTTGTACATCTTCATATCTTAAGGAATGAGGTCAGGCATCAGGGGATACTTCTTCCCTGCTGGGAGCTGCATTCTATATTCCTTTTGTCCCCTGCTGTGCTCTCTGAGCCAAACTAGGCTCCTCCTGGTCCCAAGTGTATTGGTTTTACATCCTTTAGATCTTTGCTCAGGCCATTCTTACTGTCTGGAATGCTGTCCCTTTCTTCATGTCTACCCAACAATATATTAATTTTTGTATGTGTCTTGTCTCCTTTAATGATCTGGGGACTACATGAGGGAAAGACCCTCCCTAATCCATCTCAATATCCTCACAGCATCCAGCACTGTGCCTGGCCCATAGGAGATATTCAATAAATGTTTGTGGAATGAGAAGACTGAAGTTACATGTACTCTCAGGACCAGGACCAAGGAAAAAAACTCTGTTTTTGGACTAGATCTCGCAAAAAGGTAGTATTTTACAGTTGGTGGAGTCTCACACTATTTTAAGCTATTTAAATGACTATTGGCCTCTCTTGTGTATTTTAAATAAGACTTTAATTTTAGTGCATGCCCATACGCAGTGTTACAAAGCCTATCATTTTACAGTCAGTAGCACCAATGAATGTATGGCAACTCCATTCCCCCCTAACCCTACAAACAAAGGCTCAATGTTCAGGCGGCCTCCCCTATCCTGTATCTTCTGGGCTAAATTCAGCCATAGACTGGATTTGGGCTGGAGGGTTCTGGTGGGTAATTGCAATCCACAGACACCACCACTGCACTTGAAAGCTTTGATGTTCTCTCCTGATCAGGTGTTAATAAGTCAGAAATATAAGACTCTCAATTTGGTGCCCCCTCTTTGCCTTAACCCCAGCCAACCAATAATGGCAAGTAAAGTACTCTATGCTCAAAAGGCACAGAAAGATTGAACGAAGCTCCCAGCTACCTACCCCCACCCCTCTTAGCTCATGGGTAATAAGGATGATAATAATAATTTGAAATGATCTATGTTTTTTAAAACTCCACTTGAGGAGACGGTGTTGTTCCTAGGGGTTAAAAGTACAGACACTGGAGACAAGCAGACCTGAGGCCAAGTGCAGACTCTAGCACTTTCAACTGGAGACATTGAGAAGGTTCCTGAGCTTCTCAAAGCACTGGTTTCCTCATCTGTAAAAACCTTCCCACAAGAGTTTAGACCAAAGTTTAAGATGTAAAGATGCCCCATAAACAATAGCTCTTAGGGTCTGCATAAGCCCTGGCTCTCTTCTACTGGAGTATCATTTTGCAAACTGGGTGGGTATGGAGACTGCCTTCTCTGTTCTCTCTTGCCATGCCTTAAGGTAGACATAGAAACAAGACAGAGAACCTGTCCCTACATTTGACTCTTTCTTTTCCTTTTCAGATGTGCTCTGCCTGTCACATTACACACAACCCCAGTGGCTCTCACTTTCCTCATCCAAGGCTCTCTAGAAGAGCTGTTTAGCGTGTGGGATTTGGAAACAGATTGCAGGGGTTTAGAATCCAGCTCCATCTAGGATGTCCAATTATCCCAGCTTTCCTTGAACGGTTCTGGTTTTAGCACTGGAAGTCCTTGGTCCTGGGTAGAGCAGGATATTTGGTCCTCCTTGCTCCACTCCTTCCTACGCTAAGTCCTCACTAATTTGACCTTTCAATACCTTAGGGATTTCAGCAATTCTAAAATCATCCTTGGTCATTGGAATGCAAGAAGTGAGGGCTTGGAGTATTCTGTCCCGGAGCCTTGTCATGACCACAACCAGCTGACAACCTCACTTGTGTTTGAGTCACCATTAAATCTCAACTCTCCCCAAGCCAGAATGAACCCAGGGACAAAGGAGGCCAGTGGATTTGAAGGAAATTGAAAATGTTCTTCCTAAGAGACAAGGTATAGGCTGGAGGTGAGGGGAAGGTGAACAGAAATGGGGCAGCTGCTTCTCTTTAATGAGAGCAGGGCTATTGTCTTTCCCCAGCAGAGCATCAACAGCACTAATGAACCTGAAAATCAATCCTTGTTACTGTGCAGGGCTTGGGCCAGGCTGGCCAGAAGCTCTGGCTTTATGATTCCCCACCCCACAGGGAGCCTTCCAATTCCCCTTCCAGATCGACATTAGCATGAGAGGAGCGGCCACCACATGCTGTACCCACTGACTCCTCCCAGGGCAGCTTTCTGCTATTATTGAACAGCACTTTACAGTTTGCTGGGTGTTTGGAATTTTAAAACAATCCTTCAAGGTAGACAGTATCAATATCACCATTTTACAAATGAAAAAAATCTGGGCCCAGAAAGTCAAGAGACTTTCAAAGTATCTCACAGCTAGTGTAAATGTGGTGATTGACAGTAGTGATATTTAAACTCTTCTATCTTGGAGTCCTACTGGAAAAATGATTCTGAGAAAATATACTCAATGCATATTTGTAATTTATAAATTATAACCATGACTATTGTATCAATGTATGAAGTATGTTATAAACATGAAAGTAAATATTAAAAAGAAATGAGACCATACATATACTAATAAAAATCGATGGTCCAATATTTGATATTTGTTTCTCCCACTTGAATAGATTATCTTGTACCACTGATGAAGTAGGCACTTTGGAGACACAAGCCCAAATGCCTACTTGGAACCAAGCAGACAATATAAATAAGTGGAGTGGACTGAGTGTAAAAGAACCAACCGTCCAGGCAGGGTAAGCAACAACTGATTCTCAGTCTCCCTATTGGAGGCAATAGAGAGGGGTGTGGACTGTGACATAAATGAGAACAAATCTCCTGGTAAAAGAAGCAGCTGTTACTCAGTTACATCCAGTTATTGCTATGTAAGAATGTAATCCCAGGGCTTCTGACCTTCTATTTTTTTTCAGTAGAAGTCAGATATCTAGATTTTTATGTGAAGTTGTATAATTTTATGGTGTTGGTCACTGATTTAATGCTTTGCAAAATTCTTCAGGTCCAAGTAGGTAAAAAAAAAAAAAAATCAGCTTGCAAACTTCCAAAGGACAACTGCTAGAGTAAAGGAAGGAGCTTGGCCTTTGCAGCTAGACAGTTTTGATTTTGAGTCCTATTTCTACCTTTAGTAAGTATTTCAAGCTCTCTGTACTCCAGTTTTCAGACCAGTAAAACAGAAATAATAGGCTTCTTGAAGGATTAGTAATGATGAATATGAAGCATTTAACACAGTGCCTGGCACATGGCAGAGATGCAATAAATAATACCTGTTGGTGGTGGCGCCCACCCAGAACTCAGCCCTGTTGACTGCTGACCCAGTTCTCTTTCCATTCTAAAAATGCTTAAACAGAAAATCTGCATCGCTGGCACCCAAATTCCAAGCAGAATTCATTCTGCTTCATAGAAAGGCAGTTCTTTCCCACCCTGAGTTCACAACTCCAAACGCACTCCTGATAGGTAGAGATCTGTCTCTGTCTCCTACTCTTCCAAGTCTCTCTTCTTCCCCACCCCATCTATTGCCATGCATATGCGCACATGCACACACACACACCCGCATATTTAACATATACACAGATGCCTGGGATTTTACTGTTAGTCACTGCTTTGGGAAGTGATTACTGTCTTTCTGCGAATGCTGAAAGAGAAGGAAGGACTAGATAAAGAGGGCCCCTGGAACCCTAAAAATACGCTCATCAGTTTTATCAGGGGATGCAATGAACTGAGTGTTTCTGTTCATCTAAAAGCTGTATGTTGAAATTCTCCTCCCTATGATGGTATTAGGAGGTGGGGCTTTTGGTGGGTGATTAGGTCATGAGGGTGGAGCTCTCGTGAATGGGATTAGTGCCTTTATTAAAGAGGCTGTGGGGAGCTCCCTTACCTCTTCTGGCAGTCACCTAGGAACCAGGAAGTAGGTCCTCACAAGACATCAAATCTAGGACTTCCCAGCCTCCAGAACTGTGAGAACTAAATCTACATTGTATATAAGCCCTGCAGTGTATGGCATTTTGTTGTAGCATAGCAGCATGAAAGGATTAAGATAGGTGCTCCTGTATGCCAGGAGCACCACATGATGCAACCTGTTCACTTTCCCTCTAAGCATTCTGCCTGTGACCTGGGAAGCCTGCAGTCACTGCTGCAGGAGAAATCCAGAACTCTCGGCAGCCAGCATAGCCCACCTGTCAGCTTTTTCCCAAGGCCCAGCCCCTGCCCTGCAGACTGATGAGCGCTACTGAGGAGAAGCTGGAACCTTCCACTCTGCATGCTCATGGTTTGGGGAAGGAGTCGGCTGATTTTGGAGCTGGAAACACTCAGCTCAAGAGATGTAGACAAGTAGAACTTTCCTGCTCTTCTAGCTGTCCCTAGAACCCAGCTCTTGGGATGATGGGATCTAGGAGCCTGGAGGTGTGGCTTTTGCCATCCTATGTTGAATAAACTGTCAGTACCATCACGACTAACTACCAATGATGATGGCCACTAATGTGTGTAGGTAGATTATAAAAATGGCCCTGATTCACCTTCCCTCCCTCTATCCACACCATTTGCAATGTGTCTCTGCAGTTCTTCCCATCTAATAGTTGAGCATTTCCCCCACACTTTGAATCCTGGTTAACTTGTGACTTGCCCTGGTCATGCAAATGCCTCAGAAGTGACATGGTGCCAGTTCTAAGCCTATGCCTCAAGAGGCCACACTCTCCCTTGGGAACCTGCCACCAATGTGTAGATAAACCCAGGTTGGCCTATTGCTGACTAAGGTACCCCCCCCCCCATCCAGCTGACAGCCTGCCAATCTCCAAACATGTGGGCGAGGCCATTCTGGACCAGTGAGCTCCTAGCCAACCTGCTCACTGACAGCCAACACAAAATCAGCCACGCCTGGCCCAGATCCACAGAGCTGCCAGGCTGCCATGTGGACTCATGAGCAATAAAAATACATGATTCTTATTTGAAGCCACTAAGTTTGGGGGTGGTGGTGGCTGATACACAGCAATAGCTAACTATACATCACAGTTTGGGACCATTTAGTATAGGCCAAGCTCTTTGCCAAGAGCTTTAGACAGAATACTTTATTGACTTCTTACAATAGCCCCATGAAGTAGATATTATCATCTTTATTCTGTAGCGGAAGAAACTGAGATTTTAGAAATGTAAATAACTTGCATTAAGGTCCCACAATAAGGAGTGGAAACTAGATTTGAGTCCAAGCATTCTGACACTAGAACCATATTAGGATTTTTCTTTCAGTAGCACTTGCCCTTTGCGCCTTCAAAGACCAGTTCGGCTCTAAAATCTTAGGACTTTTTTTTTTAAGATTCTTGTTATGATACCAGCAATCTCTTGCGGGTCAAAATATGAATGATTTGTCCATTGCCTAAGTGGATAATCTGAACAAGGCTGAGCGTGGCATTATCTCTAATTCCTTTGTTTTCCCCATATAATCCACTAGCAAAACCTGTTGGTTCTGCCTTCAAACTCTGTCTGAACTCCTGTCACTTCTTGCCACCTCTGTTGCTGCCAGTCTAGTCCAACTACCATCCTCTCTTACCCAGATCTCTGCAGCAGCCTCTTCACTGGTCTCCCTGACTCTACTCTTCCCACTGAGATCTTCTTCTCATATCAGCTGGAATGATCATTTGGAAATTAAAGTCAGATTATGGCAATCTACTATTCAATACATTTTAACGACTTCCCAGTACACTTAAGAACAGAATCGCAAGTCACTACCACATCCTTTAAGGTTTCATAATTTGGGCCATGGCCAGATTTCTCTCCTCCACCTTCTCTCTGGTCCCCCTGGCCTCCTAGCTCCTCACATCTAAAGCTCAATCCTGCCTTAGGCCATTGCTTTATTTCCTCTGCCCCCACATGTCTACAAAGGCTCTACGACTTTGTCAACCCAAGTGTCATCTCCATGGTGCTCTACTTCCTTACCTTGCTTTATTTTTCTTTTTATTTGGAACACTTACTATTGCCTACTACTATTTCATATTTGTTTATTGTTCAATTGTCTTTCTTTTCCACTAGAATATCAACTTAATGAGGTAAAGACTTCATCTGGTCCCAGATGTCTAAGTACATTCGGGCTGCTGTAACAGAATATTATACTCTAGGTAGCTTATAAACAGCCGAAATTTATTTCTCTCAGTTCTGGAGGCTGGGAAACCTAAGATCAAGGTGCCGGCAGATTTTATGTCTGGTGAGAGCCTTCTCTCTGATTCATAGATGGCCCCTTTTTGCTGTGTCCTCACATGGTGAAAGTGCAGAATGAACACTTTTTGGGCCTCTTTGATAAGGGCACTAGTCCCATTCATGATCTAATCACCTTCCAGAGGCTTCCCCCTGCTAATACCATCACATTGGGGGTTCAAATTTCAACATATGAATTTTGGGGGAATGCAAACACAGAGTCTGTGCCACCAGATATATCTCCAGGGTTTAAATAAAGCAGTGTTACCTACAAAATAGTACCCAATAAATGTTTGAGAGAAAATAAAATTGAAGGGAATGAAAATAATTGAATGAAAGAAAATTAAAAGTGAAAGAAAGCACTATGCAAGAAAAAACTTTTTTTTCATCATGCTTCTATGACCTTTGTTCTTAATTCCAATGTTTGACCTTAGAGTTAACCACTTATTTTCTGAAATGTTATTAAGCATCTCAGAATATTTATAAGGACATCTCTCCCAAGTTGTCATCAATAAATCCAAAATTCAAGAACTCGGAAACTTGCAAGGGTTATTTCCCATTTATCGAGCTTTTCTCCTGCAACTCACAGCTCCAAGCAAAGATTTACCCAGGACTTTTAGCAGTGAAATAATTGAGAAACTAGTAATAAACTGATCCTTCTATTGTGGGTAAAGAAATTCAGATAATTTCAATAGAGAAAAATGGAGGAAGGAATGTATATAAAAAGCCTGTACTCTTCAAACTGAGTACCTAGTGGGGTTCAGGGCAATTCTGAGTTATTGCACCTCTTTGGTCCTAGTGGCAGCTGCTGGAATTGCAGGCAAGGAAGAGGCCATGGGAAATTGTTACTCAACAATTATTTTGGTGGACTCAAGACTTAGCTGCCTCCTCTTTGGGAAATCAAATCCCAATCTCCAGCAAAACAGGATCTAGAGGCACCAGTCTCCAAGGGTGTTTGTGAGACCTTCTTTGTTCTGGTCCTGTAATATGTGCTTGATGGGGAGCATCTATTTGAATCCTCACCACTGAAAGTGCTCAGGAAATTTCACCCCAAAATATAACTCCTTGGTATAAAGAATATTTTGAATTAAAAGTTCTTAGAGATTAACAGGCCCTTGGAAGAGGCCCTCTGTCTGCATAAACTAAAAGAACAATGGTCTTCCCTTCCTTTCCCTGTTATCTCAATATATTGCAAGAAAAATGATCAAGAATGCAACCAGAGCTGGCCCAAATCATTCTAAACATGGTACCTGTCATTCAGACTAATTTACAAGTCAATCTGTTTCCCCACCCATTAATTCTCCCAAGTATCCATTCATCCTCCCTAGCAACTGTTACTGAAAGTTCAGCATCAGAAGAACTCGTATAAGTGGTTTGAGGAAAAGGAAAGAGGAGTTTGTTAATTTGCTGACATTTGAGGAGGTTGGCAAACTCCCATCTCAAAGTACCAATGTCCTCCCTCTGATCAGAAATACAGAGCTTTTAAAGATTTTGATTAATCCCATAATCCCATCTTTGGCTAAAATAATCTTATGACCTCTGCCTGGGCAATTCCCTTCAGCCATCTCCTGTGGCTCAAAGAGCAAAACACATTCCTATATTCCTCCCAACCACTGGCCTGAGGCAGGGATGTAGGTTTTAGTTCTCAAAAAGGGCGAGGGGGTGTTGAAGAGATAGAAAACATTTTTACCCTTCTTCAGGCCATTTTCTCTGTTATACAACCATATATTTCCCCTAAACAGAATCACCTGTACTGCTCATCTCTCCCTCGCCTCCAAAAGGACAAGTATAAAAATATCTGAACTTCACTGGGATATTGCATAATCACTCTGTGATTCTCCCCATGCACATGGTAAATAAACCTTTCTCTTATTAATCTGCCTTAATTGTGAGTTGGTCTTTCAGCAAACTTTCAGGGGAAAGGGCAAGTTTCCCCTCACCTCTACACCGCAAACACACAAGAGAGATGTCTATCCTGTTACTGACACACAAACCAAGGCTCAGAGATGTGAAGCACTCCCAGAACTAAAAAGGGGCACAATCAGAACCTGGTTCCAGCTGATTCTAAACCCTGTGATCATCCTAGTACTGATCAGAGGGGATAAATCTTGACAATTCAACTCATTGCATACATCGAACTTCCCAAGACTCTGGAATTTGAACTTCCCTGCCAGTTATAGTCTCATTAATTCAACAACCTTTATTGATTGCCTCCTACGTGCCAGGAACAGTGCTTGGCCCAGTGGCTTCCAGAGAATGACACGTGAACAATGGTAATGACATAATTTATGTGGAGAAAAAGCAACTCCTAAGGGGTGCCTCTCTCAAATTGAGTTACTTTTTCACTATTGAATAAATTGTAATTTGAAAAGCTGGTAAAGTGCCCTCTTTTGGTGAGCCAAGCCAATCAATACGTGCCATTTTAAATTCTCCTTTCTGCTTTTCTCCTATTCAGGCAGATTGGAGAAAAAGCAACCACTTGAGGGCTGAAATTACTGGGCTGGATTTCTTAATGGAGTGATTTTTTTTTTTTTTTGAGTGATTTGTTTCTGAAGAATAGGCAGCCTAGGGCAGGCTAAGTGGACTACTTTCCCGGACAGGGCAAAGACCCCTCCTGGGCTTGCCTGCTACTCCCCTGTCTGCTACTTAAGGGTTGAGGGTACAGCCCCTATTGGAATCTTCTGGGACAGGCAGCCATTCTGACTGGCCCATCTCTGACAGCCCATCCCTGACAGCTGTCATCAGTATTGATCAACCACAAAGCAGATTCTAGAACAGTAGGTACTTGTTATAGGATGCACATAGTCACATATAAAACCTGGAAACTGTGGCTTCTAAATCTTAAAAGATTTTCTTATTTTTATAAGAAATATAAGAAAATAAGAAAAATAAGATTTTTCTTATTTTCTCTAATCTTATTTCTACCTTGCAGGATCATGAGTGTTTTTTTTTTTCTTTTTGCATGTCTGCCATGCCTCATTTTCCTTCTACAGACCTGTATCACCCATAATCAACAGTGTCACTGGGCTACTCCACACCCCTTTTGCTCTCTTTCCACACTCCCTCCACATTCTCTTGCCCCTTCATTCCCTTGTCAAAGTGATAATTAATAATAATTTTAAAAAGTCCTCTCCTTGCCACCCATGGAAATGAGGAAAATCCTCTCTCTGCCTCCCCCTCCCCTTCACAGCCTAGCTAAGAATATGGGGCTCCAGGAACACTGTGTGAATTTCTCCTATGCTCAGCGTATGCCTGTCCGTCAGATTCTCCTGGATGTTCCCCTCGGGAAGGAACGGCCACGGGCCCCAGCAAGGCAGATGTCAGGAACGAGGGTGCCCCGTGGTCCCGAGGCCATAAGTCTATCCTGCACAATTTCCTTTTCCTGAGCTCCAGGAAGAGCAGGGCTGACTCTACTGGCCTGGGCCACAGATCCAGAGTGTGACCTTTGAGGCACAGTGATGTTCGGGGACTTGCCAGTTCCCTCTTTTGTCAAATGGAGAGAATAATGCCTCCTGCTTCACAGGTGTGTAATGAGGGTCAGAGGAAATTATGGATACCAAAGTGTTCCAAAAGGTCAAGAGTCCTGCAGAATAAATCACCAGGCCCCGTGAGCCTCGCTCCTTAATTTCTTTCCCATCTGTCTTCTCTCAGCTCCCCGTGAGCCTGTCCTGCTCTCGGCCTTCATCACCTCCCCCCTGCTCTCTTGGTCTCCCTGTCTTCACTCTTCACTCATGTCAGTCCCAACTACACACTAATGCCTGGTAATCTCTCTAAAACCCCATGCTCAGCAAGGCACATCCCTCTACAAAACCTCCAGCGATTCTCCTTGGCCTAGACAAAAAGCAAAATCGCTAACCTAGTGGGGATAGGCAAAATTCCAAGAATGACCCAGGGACACTCATCCTTCAATAGTCCACTGTCCTTGGAGTGCAAGTGGAACCCATTAATAGGTTGAGCTATCACCCCCATAATTATATTGTACAGCAAAAAAAAAAGGGAGCTTATCCAGGTGGGCTTAATTTAATCAAGGAAGTCCTTTAAAATAGAGAGTTTTTTTCACCTGGTAATAGAAGAGGAATTCAGAAATTAGAAGCATTAGAAGGATTCAACAACAGCCAAAATCAAGCACCCCATTAAAAAGTGGGCAAAGGACATGAACAGAAACTTTTCGAAAGAAGACAGACTAATGGCCAATAAACATATGAAAAAATGCTCAACATCTCTAATCATCAGGGAAAGGCGAATCAAAACCACAATGAAATATTACTTAACTCCAGTGAGAATGGCTTTTACCAAAAAGTCCCAAAACAACAAACGTTGGCATGGATGCAGAGAGATAGGAACACTCATACACTGCTGGTGGGACTGCAAATTAGTACAAACTCTGTGGAAAGTTGTATGGAGATACCTCAAAGAGCTAAAAGTAGACTTACCATTTGATCTAGAAATCCCATTTCTGGGCATCTACCCAAAGGAAAAAAAGACATCTGCACTCGAATGTTTATAGCAGCACAATTCACAACTGCAAAGATGTGGAAACAACTTACGTGCCCATCAATACATGAGTGAATTAATAAAATGTGGTATATGTATACCATGGAGTACTACTCAGCCACAAAAAACAATGGTGATCTAGCACCTCTTGTATCATCCTGTATGGAGCTGGAATCCATTCTACTAAGTGAAATATCATAAGAATGGAAAAACAAGCATCACATGTAGTCACTATCAAATTGGTATTAATTGATCAACACTTATGTGCACATATGGTAGTAACATCGGGTGTCGGGCAGGTAGGAAGGGGGAGGAGGAGATGGGTGCACACAGTCTGGGTGATGGACACGCTTGTAGCTCTGACTTGGGCAGGGCAAAGGCAATACATGTAACCCAAACATATGTACCCCCATAATATTCTGAAATAAAAAATAAATAAAAGAAAAAAGTAAAACAAACAAAAAACAAGGATTCAACAACAGGCAGCAAGGAGATGGGAATCTCAGTCTTACAACCACAAGAAACTGAATTTGGCCAACAACTTGAATGAGTTTGAAAGCTGATTTCCCCCTCGAGCCTCTAGATAAGAGCCCAGTCTGGTCAACGCCCTTGATTTTAGCCTGCGAGACCCTAAAGGGAAACCCAGATGAGCTGCCTGGACTTCTGACCTACAGACTATGATATTGTGAGAGTCCTGTTAAACTGCTACATTTGTGGTAATTTGTTATGCAGCAATAGAAAATGAACACACCTGATATTTCAAGGCCTTAAGAGTTTTTTTCATCTCACCTGAACTTCTCCAATTCACCTTTCAAACATAAGCTCTGTAGGGATTTCAGGGCTCAAGTCTGGACTCTACCACCTGCTGTCAAGTTATGTGGCATCTGTGTTTTTCCATTATTTCGTCTATACATTTAGGATCATTCCAGAATCTTTCTCATGAGACTGTTGGGAGGTAATGAGATAAATGAGATAATGCAGCAAAACATCTACTACAGTATCTGGCACAAATGGCTAAATTATTTTTTCTTTGTACTGTTATTATATTCTCTTTGGATGTTCCCCTTGAGTCAAATGGGTTTATTTATTAACCTAGGAAAATACACTCTTGTTCTCGGCTCACGTTCATGCCCCTGCCCCGCACGACTTCGACGCACTGCTGTACCTCTCAAATACCCTGCCGGGCTGCGCTCAGATTCCTGCCCCCTTCGTGAAACCTTCCCTGACCCCTGCGGCTCACGGAGGTCTAGCCCTTATGCTAACTACTAGGGTACCAGAGAATGGTGTGAGTACTTAGACGATCTCATACCTAATCACTTAAAATTATGTTTTAAATTACAAAAGAAATGCCGTTTGTTAGAGATCCTTGGAAAAATCCACAAAACTTCAAGGCAGGAAATGAATTAATATTTCCCCCATCGTTACTATTTTGGTGTATTTCCTTTCAGTGCCCTTGCTTTTGTTGTTTGCATATATGCAAACGGTTGCCTTTCTGAGCATAAATCTTTGCCCTAGTCTGCCCAAGGCATCCATCTGCCTAAAAAGAGATTAGGATTTGTTTTCGGGAGGAATTCAAAGAGAAAGAACAATGTGATATTCAGCTCTAGTCATGCAAAATAGGATGATGCAGGAAATGAGGGTATTATGGGTTGTTTTAGCCAAGGTTCCTGTATTAGTTTTATATTACTGCTAAAACAAATTATCGTAAACTTAGTGATTTAAAACAACACAAATTTATCCTCTTACAGTTTCAGAGGTAAGAAGACTGAAATGAGCCTATTTGGGGGGCTCAAGGTATTGTTAGGGTTCCTTCTGGAGCCCCCAGGGGAGACCATGCTTTCCCCATCCAGAGTCTAGAGGCTGCCTACATTCCTTGGCTTGTGGCGCATCCCTCCAATCTCTGCTTCCATCAACACATCATCTTTGTAGGGACCCTTTGTGGTGACTTTGGACCCACCTAGATAATTCAGAATAACCTCCCCACGTCAAGGTCACCATGGCCACTTAGTGTCACAGAACCAATACAACTCTGCAAACAGAGAAACCAAGCAGCAATGCAGTGCAGTGGAGAGGGACTCGTTAAGGTCTGCTGCAGTGTTTGGAGAGAGCCCAAAGACAGGGAGCTGCTAAGGGAGCCATTCTCAAAATAAAACTATTATAGAAATAGCTGCCATTTGTTGAGCATGTGTGCCAGGAGCTATACTAGGCCCTCTTTTAAAATAGTTGATAGGAAAAACATCATTGGAATAGTCGCAGAGTTTAAGATACAAATGGCCCACACTCTAGTCACCTAATTAAGTCAATATTTTAATTTTTCCACACATATATACAGTTTCCCATATTCATTATAATATCATAGATATAACTTAGACTGTTAATTTCCACAATTTCACTTTAATTCTTACCATAAATAATATTTCCATTTGTAAGAATCACAGTTTATCTCCCTCTCTTCTTTCTCTTCTTTCTCTCCCACCACACTATAACCAGTATTAACAGCCTGAGAACATCTCTCTACATATTTATCTATGTTGACTTAAAACAATAATAACAGTAAACATTTACTTAATGTTTATTACAAGGCGGGCCTTGTTTTATCGTATTACCTACTGTAGCTCATTTAATCCTCAGTACAACTTTATGAAGGAGGTACTATTCTTATCCTCAATTTAAACGGGAAGAAACTGAGCCCCAACATATTCCAAAAATATTCAAAAATATAAACAAATCTGTAGACACAAATAAGGAAAGTTTTTTCTTTTTGTATTTTAAGAAATAGAGAAACCCAGATACCTGTAGTCCCAGTTACTTGGGAGACTGAGGCAGGAGGTCACTTGAGGCCAGGATTTCAAGGCTGCAGTGAGCTATGATGATGCCTATGGACAGCAATGCACTCCAGCCTGGGCAGCATAGGAAGACCTGGTCTCTTAAAAGAAAATATATATAATATATATATATATATATATATATATATATATATAGAGAGAGAGAGAGAGAGAGAGAGAGAGAGAGAGAGAGAGAGAGAAAGAGGAACACAGTACATATTTCACTGTGGTAGCTTTTGAAGTATAGTGTATCTTGCCCTCTCTCCAGGGCAATAGATCCAACTCTAACTCATTTTTAAAGAGCAATAAAAAGTGCCCCATTGTATGAATGCACTAACATTTATTGGACCTATTGATAAGCATTTATGTTGTTTCTATTTTTTTTTTTGCCACTACAAATGATGTTGAAATGTTTATCTTCAAGAATATAAATTCTTAGGTGCTAGTGCTTTTATTTCTATAGGGCTGAGTCTATAGACTTTAGTGCTGAATTTAGAATCTTCCATATGAAACGATAAGCACAGCTGTAAGCTGAGCCCAAGCGTAAGACTCTCTTGAAATACATGGACTCCACCTAGGTCAGGGAGAGAAGGCATACAATTTGTATGGTCGTAGGTGGTAGCCAAAGAGGACATGCGGCCAAGGAGACCCTGAGCTGGCACAGGAGGAGGCCAGGCGGGGCCCAGCCTCTGTGCATCTCCCAGGCAATTCCGTAATCGCCTTGGCCACCGCTGGAGCACAGAGTCACAGCAGCTACGCTGCTCCTAGCACCAAGGTATCCACCTTCTATTCTCAGTGGGCTCATTCCAAACAAAGAGGGAGAAAAAAAAAAGAAATCATTCATCTTCCTTTTCTTCTTCCCCGGGAACTCTTTTTTGTGTGTGTGCACTGGGTACCCCTGGTAGATTGTGTGTCAGAACCTGCTTTTTTTTTCCCTGGCATATTATGGGGGTACAGATTTTAAGGTTTCAATAAATGCCCTTTCCCCCTCTCCCCCCACAAGTCTGAGTTTCCAGCATGACCATCCCCAGATGGTGCACATCTCACTCATTATGTATGTATATGCCCGCCCCCTCCCACCTGCCAATACCCTATTACTGAGTACCTATGTGTCCACTTAGGTGCTGCTCAGTAACACCAGTTTGCTGGTGAGTATATGTGGTGCTTGTTTTTCTTCTGGGAAACTTCACTTAGTAGTATGGGTTCCAGCTCTAACCAGGAAAATATAAGATGTGCTATATCACCATTGTTTCTTATAGCTGAATAGTACTCCATGGTATACATATACCACATTTTATTAATCCATTCTTGGATGGGCTGTTTCCACAGCTTGCAATTATAATTGTGCTGCATAAACATTCGAGGAGGTGTCTTTTTTATAGAGTATCATTGGATCTTTTGGTAGATGCCCAGTAATGGGATTGCTGGATCAATGGTAGATTCACTTGTACGCTTTAAGGTATCTCCATATTGCTTTCCACAGAGGTTGAACTAGTTTGCAGTCCCACCAGCAGTGTAGGAGTGTTCCTCTCTCTCTCCACATCCACGCCAGCACTTACTGTTTGGAGACTTTTTGATAAAGGCCATTCTCACTGGAGTTAAGTGATATCTCATTGTGGTTTTGATTTGCATTTCCCTGATGATTAGAGATATTGAGCATTTTTTCATGTTTGTTGGCCATTCTTCTGTCTTCTTTAGAAAAGTTTCTGTTCAAGTCCTTTGCCTACTTTAAATTATACTACAAAGCTGTAGTAATTAAATCAATCTGGTATTGGCACAAAAATAGGAATATTGACCAGTGGAACAGATTGAGAATATGATATAAAACCATCCTCATATAGCCATCTAATCTTTGACAAAGCAGACAAAAACATACGCTGGGGAAAAGAATCCCTTTTCAATAAATGGTGCTGGGAAAACTGGAATGCCCACTTGTAGAAGGCTAAAGCAGGACCACACTTTCACCTCTCACAAAATTCAACTCACGCTGGATAACAGACTTAAACCTAAGGTATGAAACTATTAGAATTCTAGAGGAAAATGTTGGAAACACTCTCCTAGACATTGGCCTAGGCAAAGAGTTTCTGAAGAAGTCCCCAAAGGCAATCACAGCAGCAACAAAAATAAATAAATGGGACATGATCAAACTAAAAAGCTTCTGCACAGCCAAAGAAACAGTCATGAAAGTAAACAGACAACCTATATAATGGGAGAAAATTTTTGCATCCTATGCATCTGATAAGGGGCTGATAACTAGAATATACTTAGAACTCACGAAAATCAGCAAGACCTCCTTTTTAATAGTTGAATCACTAGGTAAGATACATCGTGGTGGGAAAAAAAATGGAAGAAATATAAAGATAAATGAGGAGGAGAGAGGTACAGGTAGAGATTGGAGAGAAGGGATTGACCTGCCTTGGTGCAGAGAAAAGCATGTAAAAAATATTTACAATAGTTAATATGTATAAGAACTGATGTATATATAAATGTAGGAAAGTAACTTTCAATTTAACAAAAACAACAAAAAACTGCTACCCTCAGTCTGAGGGTTCATTTTTCTTGCATAACAAGGACAGGAGGTAGGTAGCTGCTGTTCAGCCAGTCAGCAATGTCAAGTCCAGTTCCTGTGGGATTGCTGGTCAAAGGGAAGATGCCATTAGTAATTTTGCAGATGTCCCAAATGCCCCGCAAGGGATCATGCCATTTTGCATTCTCTCCAAATATAGCTTATAGGATTAATATTCCTAATGGATAAACAGCTTCTTAAAATAGAAGAAATCAACCAACAACCCTACAGAACAAGGGCAGAATATATGAACAGTTTGTGGGGGGATGAAAATTGCCATTGACTGTATGGTAAAAAGCTCAACCTCCTCAGAATATGAAAAATGCAAATTAAACTGTACTGAGATATCATTTCTCACTATCAGATTGGCAAAATTCAAGCCTGACCGACAACTCTGTTATAAGACTGTTAGAAACAATTCTGCTCCTAAGTTGCTGGTGGAAATCAAAAGAATACAACCATTATGGAAGGGAATTGACCATCTAGGCAAAATTACAATCATCTGACCTTTGACATAACAATCCCTATTTCTAGGAATCATCTCAAAAAAAACTGGTGAAATACAAAGTGATGTTTATGTGCAAAGACATCCATTGCTAATATTGTAACATAAAAGGACAGAAACAATCCAAATGTCCATCAACGGGGGACTGGTTGGATAGACTATGGTGCAGCCACACAGTAGAGTATTATATAGCTATAAAGTGAGTAAGAAGGTCTCTCCTCTAATATATACTTATATAAAATAATTCCAGGATATATCATATAACTAAGAAGGCAAAGTACAGGAAATGTTTTTCTAGTATGCAACTTTTGTTTTAGAACGGGGGTACTTGAATAAATAAATATATTTGCTTATGTTACCAAATGGTGATAATGCGAGGATAATCCAAAAAAAAACATAAAAATGGAGGCTATATGAGGGGAAGGAAGAGGGTAAGGGCAGGATGGACCTGGACTGAACGCAATGTACGGTTGTATATTTTGACTTAGAACCATATAAAAGTTTCAATCAAAATAAAATAAAGAAAGATATAAGGAGTTTATAAAGGTTGGAGAAATGGAAAAATGATAATACATAGGTAAGTGATTTTAGCCACACAAGAGAATGTTGATTGCAAACATTCTGTACAATATATTTTGATAATATTCCTTGATGGATAATATCCTGAGAGATAAAAAGTCATGAAAAATCCTAACTGCATTCAAGGGTCCTATAAATAGGACAGCTAGAGATGTCATGTTTAATAGCAGTCAAATAACCCAAAATCATGGTGCCTTCAACAATTAAAAGATTCTTTTCTCACTCCCAATGTTACTGTTTATTGTGATGTTTCTTCCCTCTGTGACCCAGGTGGGGAAGAATCGTCTGTCCTGGAATTATGTTCCACTCTAGAGGGGCAGAGAAAGGGACTGCTAGTCTTCAACCTCTTCCTGTAAATGACGCAAGGTCACTGTTATGTTCACTTCATTTTATTGACCAAAGAAAGTCAGCAATAGCCTGAGTTCAAAAGGCAGGAGGTATAAGCTCTGCAGAGATGGTACCAAATATGGGTGAGCAATAACACAGTCTCCCACAGAGAGCAGCTTATTGGTAGTGTCATTATGAACGCTATCTGGTGTATATTGAGGGACTGGGAGTATTATACTTTAGTTATGTAATAATGAGAACCAAGGTTTCAGCACAAAAAGTAGAGACCAAGAAAAATCTAAGTGAGTTAAAAACTCTGTCAATTTACATTCTTCATTGGAAATACCAATAATGCAACTTCTAACTTATCTTTCCCCAATGAGACCTGTTGCTTTTGCAGGGTAACTGTAACACTGGGGGAAGGTCCACAAATCCACCCCTAGTTTATTGCTCTGGCTCGTCAATTAATAACTTGGTTAGAATGCAAGAGTTGGCGATGATTGGTAACTTAACAAGGTTACAGATCCCTCCTCGTTCCCTGCTCATAGGGTAAAAGTTCACTGTGATAGGAAGGCCCATGTGGAAGCTACCTTTGCAAGACACCCACATCCGAAGCCATATTTCTTCTAAGAGGAGATTACAGGATTATACTGCCACTTTTTAGGACTTAAAGATGGGAAGTGGCTCCCCCATCACATCTCATCATTCACTTTCCGGCCTTTACAAAACCAGACACTCATGGAGAAGGTGGTAGGTTGTGAAACTTAACCAGGTGGCGCCCAACTGCAGCACAGCTGCTGTGCCCTGTGGTAACCTCTGGCAATTGATATGTGGCTGTTGATAGGTGCAATTAACCTTCTTTTCTTTATCCTAATTACAGGGAGGTCAACGCAAGTCCTTTACAGCCAAGGAAAGCAAGAGCTTCCTCTATCGTTCTCTGTTTCTGAAATGCATTGGTGGCAAAGGAGGTAGGTGCTGAAGAGCCAGGCAACCTGCTATGCATTTACTTGTGCTGAATCCCTGACTGTATCA